TTTTAGAAGAAAGACGGCGCAGCGTGGGCCCTTGGCTTTGATGGATAACACACACAGTAAGCGCGAGCAGGAAAATACACAATGCAATCCTACGCACAAGGTTGCAGCAGGTGTTATAGACTGCCTTCTGCTATCTCCCAAGATCCTAACGTAGCCTTGAGATGTGGTGCTGGTGGGAAGTTGATAATGGGTCGCTCGACTGGGATGGGATCATGTCTGCTAGCTGCAGTGGAAATTTCACATGGCGCTTCTGCGACCTGATTGGTTCATGACCGTCCCCAGGTGTGTCTGTCTCTAAAACCCGCTATGAGAGGGGGCCGCTGTAGCGCCCATGCAACCCGAAGTCTCAGGGGCAATCGTTCCCGCTCCCTAGGGAGGGACTGCTTGACAGATTCCGGCCCAAATGCGGCCATCAACGGACGGGATTGTCTTTAATCTTGGTGCATATCAGAGCTCGATCTCATGCAAAAATATGCATGAACCTCGTCTCATCACTTGCATGATGCAGAACCGGGAGCGACGAAGATTCAATTGATATCTTAGGCAACCTAACTCAGCCTCACCCAACTCACATGCTGTGTACCTATGCGCTATAAACAAAAGACCACTGTAAAACGTCATCCTTTGTTTACTTTCAACTTTTCCCCACGGGCGATCCACTACAACAAACCCAAACCATGGCTTGAATCCGTTAAACCTTGTCACATCTTGGTTCGTCTACCAAGTGAGCAGTACGTATCTTGCTCTTCTCATGCCTCAGACCACACAAGCAGGTTATCTCGGATTTCTCGATCGACAATACGACCTTGTAAGGTTAGCACAAGCTGCACGCGGCACTTGTTGATGCTCTCCCGCTCCCCTGCGCTTCGCTAGACGAGGCCTGTAAAGATTGCGTGCTGGAGAGCTTTGCGGGACGTTTTACGTTGCCCGGCGTAACGAGTTTATATCGGGTTTCAACGTTTAAGCTAGCTGGCTTTCTTATGCATATCCGCGCTATTCGGCTGGTTGCTTGCTTCCTTCCCAAGTCTCGCGGCTATCCACACTCTGTGGTTTGTTTGTTGCTTTTGCAAAAGGACTCCCTGTTGTGAGGCCAACAGGAACTATTCGGTTGAGCCAGTCTCGTTTAGTAGAGGAATAGTCGCTTCTTTGCATCCTCCACCACCCATGACAGTCCTTCTTTAAGGTTGGTTCCAGTCATGGCGCTGCATGGCAGGATGTGCCATCGATGTGTCCGTATCGATTTTAGTTGTAGCTCCTAAATATCATAGTGAGCTTGGTTGGTCATGTTCACATGGCATGGCATGGCATGGCGTGACGTGAACATACTGAGAGAATCTCTTCTTCCGTCATACATCCCTCAACATCTGTTTTGTTGGCAAAAACAAGCAGACTTGCCCCTGCAAGACGCTGTACCACTTGTCAGTAGCTATCCGACCGTTGCCGTGTCATATCACGCACCTCTTCTAAGAGTAAACCTTGAAGCTCGTCTCTGCAGTCTTGGATACGTAAACGGTCCGTTGCGTCGACAACCCAGATCAAAGCATCTGTCTTTTCAAAATAGTTTCTCCAGTATGAGCGCAACGTTTTCTGCCCACCCACGTCCCCTTGGGGAGTCAGCTCATCTCATCGACTGGGCATGCCTACTTGGGTCACACACATATGTTTAATTTGTACCTGTAAGGCCTGTCAGCGGTGTTATACGACGAACGAAGTCCTTCTTACCCCTCGTAGTCAATCGTCTTGATGATGAAACCTAATGTTGGGCTTACGGTGTTGACATCCTCTCCCATGACCTTCTTGACGATTGTGGTCTTTCCAGCATTATCCAATCCGCTAAGGATAGTCAGTCAAAATCCTAAATGGAGCAGGTCGTTGACAATACTCACAGCATCAGGATTCGCATTTCTTTGTCCTTGAGCCGCGCTTTTCGCAGGATTGACAACATTTTGATTTACGAGTAGTGTATCGAATTAACTCGAGAGTAAGACAAGCAAGGCACTTCCACTTGGTTCTTGAGCAGTTTTGCCGGCTACTTGGTCTTCAAAGGATTTCTTTCTTCATCACCGAACTATGAAGGTAGTTGAATTCATTTACCTGTGGCTCTCATGGCTCCACGTGATTGGTGCTCGCTTGATCCCTTCACCCCCTCCATGGAACTTCACCACTCCCGTCTCGTATGCTATGCCTCAACCGCCACTATTAATGGATAATCTAAAACATCTGAAAACCATGGACGTTATGAATCCTATCGACATCCCGTCTTTACATACGCTACTTTACATGCCCATACGCTCGAACTTGGCCCAAACATTTCCTACCATGCAATTACCATAGCGATAAACAGCCAAAACTCCTGTCAATAGCCAGGCTCTTGTACATCAATGCCTCTCTTCCTCCACCATTTCTGAAGCTGGGCGTGCCTCATGTTCCCATACAACTAGGTCTTTCCAGACGCCTGGGTTTTTTCCATGCTTCACAGCTTCCTTGAAATTCGCAACCTTGGCAAAATCGTACTTCTCGAGCAGACCAGTCGTCCACTCGATTCGAGAATCATCCTCGCCATCAAAGAATGCCTCCAAGTACAGCTTGCTGTACTTTCGTTCATTGTGTGCAGGAATCTCTTCGTACGTCTTTCGGGGCTCCGAGCACTTCCAGTTGTAGTCCACAAGACTACGATGGTAGATAGATGTGGACAACAAAATTCTGTCCAGCAGTGCCGACCCGACTAGCATTCGTCGATGCTCTGGGTCAACGACTAGCTTGATTTTCCCAGAGAACCTGGCTCCCTGACATGCGTGGCCTAGAAAGTCCTGTCGAGAATCATCGACAAAGGCAAAGCCAAGGATGGTTGGACTCTCTGACACTCCACGAGATTTCATAATTCCAATGAGCTTCTGATAGCGCTTTTCATCACCCTTAGACCATCCAGAACGGTCGACTATCTCGCAAGAAGATTCAACCGCCACAATGAATGGGCGGCGCTTCGACGTGCAAGCGTTGTAGAGTTCTGCAATTTGTGCACTGTCAACTTTGGGTAGGTAGACCTGCGAATCTTCTCGCTGCATCTCATTATTGACGATGTTTGCGATGCCCTGGAAATCCTCAGGCTGGACGGGCCGAAGAGTGCAGTCTGCATCGGGCCACTTGTCTTCCTCCTGCGTAATGTTGGCATACTTCTGTTCTTCTTTCCTACGCTCAATCTCTTCCTTTTTCGATTTGCGTAGATCCAGCTCGCGGGCGATATAGCCTTCAGAATTGGTCACAGCGCGGCGCCAGTTGTGCCTGGCTTGGGTGTCTTTCTGAATCTTAATGTATCGCGGGGGAGGGATCAGCCCGCCTGTCGCCGGATCGATGTCGCAATCATCCACCCGAGGGTGACGGTTTGCGGCAAGGTTGACGATGGGATACTTGTCTTGTTGTGTCTCCCACTTCTCCACGGCTGTCAATAAATTCTGATTGACCTGGACAAGGGCCAGATCATCATCGTTTTCGTGATCATGTAGTCTAGGACTATCCCATGCGGCCATTTCATCTGAAGGCAGCGGACCAGCACTCAGCGCCATGGAGGCGGTGCTTAAGGATCGTTGTCGGGGAACGAGAGCGGTTGAAGGTGTCACAGCTTGGATGATATGCAATGGTGCTGGCAAAGGAGCACCTTCAAATTCCGACGATTTGTTACCGATTGACTGCTCCTTAGGTGAGTTCCAAGTGCCCACGGAGCTGTTCTCGAAGTCTTCGGTCCCTTCGGAATCAACAATTTCAGGTGATTGGTGAAAGGGTGTGCGAACAACTTCCTGCACAGGCGTTTGATACGGAGCAGGAGAAGGATGCACGACATTTTTGGAAAGCCTTCGATGCGGAGGAATACGAACCGTCTCGTTCGTACTTTCTTGGAGAGGAAGGGGAGAGCGAAGTCCCTTCTGTCTATTCCAGTAGCTCTGCTGGATAGGAGTTGTATGTCCATTACTCGATATCCCTTGTGTCCCGAGGAATCGCTGTTTAACGGCGCCCGCAGGCAGGAGCTGCTGATTTTGGGTTTGAATCCCAACGAGTTTTCCCATGCCTTGGATGCGCTGCAGCGAGTTATTGGGGTTTGGCGAAGGCGTGCTGCCTCCGCCGCCCCGGCTGCTGGGGGCCCACGGCATGGCTTACAAAGTCGGCTTTCCATTGTTAGTTCTTGCGGATGATGTTAAAATGAAGCAAATGAAGGCGAACCTGTATAAAGGCTACACAATCGGGTGTACTACTAGAAACACGGCGATGTGTAGAAACAGCGGTGCAAACAGTGGTGCGAAGGACGGTGACGGGACAACAGAGTTCGAAAAGTGATATGAAGGGAAACAATATGAAGGGAAACAATATGAAGGAAGAGAAGAGCGAGAGAATGCCAACGATCTCCTCGGCCAGGCGAGTAAATGTTGGGGCTTGGTAGTGATGAAGAGGAGAAACTCGATCTTTTGTTTGTTGCGATGGAGAGGTGATGAAGGCGAGTGGCCCAAGGTTAAATAAGGCAAGGCAAGGCACTGTGTGAAGAAGAGAAGCACGCGGTCGGCTCTTGCCTAGCAACGAGAGTTGAGGAAAATAACGAGAGGCCACTGGCACTTGGCAACAGTGGCAGATTGCAGTACTGACCTCCACTACCTAAGGTAAGGCACCTTATGTGCGAATACTTGTACAAGTCGAGTCCGAATACGGCTATGTATCAAGGGCTACGGCAGGCCAAGGGACGAGGCAATACTCAGAGCAAACCACGGCTAAGTGCATATTATCATCGAGATCAACATCATTGTCAGTGGTTCAGGGCCCGTGACTACAGGGGTTCGGGTGTGACAAGTTAGCAATCAAGAGATGAATAATATACCAACGAACGAATCTAATAAACAAAGGGAATTATATTTGCAGAGCTCTACCATGTGTATCCTATACGTTTGTTTCCCAGGGTATATCCAAACTAACAACAAGACATCAACCCCATACTCCATGGAAACCATCGACTCCAACTACTCCTCATCACTGCCCTCCATCAGTCGTCTATTCTCCCGCACTTGATCCAACAGACTCTTTTTGGGCTTGCTCTGAGTCGACATACGTGATGTTCGACGGCTCGTCTGACCGCCAGGAGCCAATGAACCCACATTCTCTCGCGAGCGTCTAAACCCAGGATGCGAAGAGTAAATGCTCGACGCTGCAATTGACGGAGCGGCCGAGGCTCTTTTCTTACCGCTCCGTGCTGGCCGAGGTGTTGACGGCTCTCCATCTATAGATGGGATACCCGTCTTGAATCCGTGTTTCCGACAAAAATCTATACGTGCTTGGTGTTCAGCGTATGCGGTAGACTCTCGAGCACCTCCATTGGTCGGCTCTACAGTGTTTCGACGAGATGCACCCCCTGCAGCACTCTCCGGGAGTGAAAACACAGAGACAGGCACCCACTCAGTTTCCGTAGGGCTATTACCGGCAGTAATATCGGGAGGGGTTGGTCCTCTGCTAAAGCTAAGAGGAGGTGGTATGGCACTTGGGTTACTGTATACAGATGATGTTTCCATCTGCTCATCCGGCACGATGCTTTCTCTCTTTCCATTATAAGCAGAGTCTCTTTGTTGATTTGAAATAACGCTCTGTCTCGTAAGAGTAGCGGTCGAGTCTCTCCTGTGCTGCTCAGGTGCAAAGTCCCTTTGTAGTCGATCATCGAGAGACATGTTCCTAACACTCTCTGCATAGTCGCTGAAGGCGGGATGCACATCGTCCTCAAAGAGTTGTCTTCGTTCATCAGCCGTAAGTCCTCGCTGTTGCATCTGACAATCCATCCATAGCGACGCTTGGTAGTCCACGTCTTCATCCATCCAATTTTGCTCGTCCGCATGGAACTGAGCACTCGACTGACTAGATCTTGATTCTGGAGGAAGAAATGTGCTTCTATCCTCCTGGCTGTGTTTGCTGTAGCTTGGTCGAGACGGCTGCTCATGAAATGATTGCCGAGTACGAGCACGGCCGCGGTTACCGTCTTCTTCATACGCTCTATATGGATGGCCATATACTGATCGAGATGAAGATCGAGATATATGAGATTCTGGGCGTTCCTCTCTCAGGTAGTTGATGGTATTGATCAGACTGGTAAGTTCTTCGCTAATCTCAGCACTTCCAGTGTAGATAGCCCTACGACTATTTACATGCTGGTGTGATATCCAAGACTCAATAAGTCGGAGAAGTCTTGGTTCTCTACCACCTTGCTCGATGTGGCGATCCCTTCGCGTGGTCAATGTCGCTCGCAGATCGCTCAGCACCTGAGGTCTACCACCAATGACCGACATGATGCAAGCTTCGCACCTGCTTTTGACCACGAGTTTTGTGGGCGAAACACGTTCGTAGCCAAAGGTGGCATTGAAAGCTTTACGACCGATCCAAAGTCCAGTTACGGCATCGATACGATCCAGCCATGCAATAACAGCATTGGGATAAGCGATGCGCTGTCGCCAAGTGCGCAGGGTCTGGATACGCTCAGTACATTCGGCGATGATCAAGAGCATAAGTCGCCGGATCAGCTTAGGATCAAGGCCATGATGGGCTGCGCACAGACATGCTGTTGGCGAACCGTCGGCACCAAGTCTATAAGACAGGCTCTCAAGTTTGGCAGACAGACGGGCCAAGAGTTTGGTGGAACGACGGTTTGACTTGTCGAGGTTAGCTACACGAGCTTGCTGGTCAAGCAACCACTCTTTATCCGGCACAGCTATGTTGACTCCTGGATCCATCCACAACAGGTCCGTGAGTTGGTCAAGCTGATGATTTGATATATCAGGTAGTGGGATATACCTCATCTCCTCATCAGGGCCGTGAAGTGTACGATGGGGAACCATTATGAATACTATGAGATTTGTTCTTAATAGAAGACAAGAACTTCAACACAAGACTGCCGCATCAATCTGTTCGATAGGTTTGTTCGAGAGGCAAATTCAGCATCAACTTGCTCCGTAGAAAACCGTAGATACTGGTTGTTTGCTTCCTTCACTGGGACCGTATGCCTTATATAAAAGATCTCGCATGGTGAACACAGACAGTAACTCGAGGGCAACGTCAATGTGTTCCATAGTCGCGATGTGAACAATGCGGTAACAAATTCTTCAACAAAATAGAGTACCGGTAGAATGGATCTGCTGTTCTCGGAGTGGATGGCTTTGTGCGAACAAGGTACCGATATGGACTATCTCTCCAAACAAAGTGTTAGATAGGGCTGAAATCTTGCTGTGTTGTTCTGCACACCTACATATGGCTCCCAAGACCAGCTGTTGAGAGGAACCAAGATGTGAAGGCAACCCGGAGAAGCCACAAGTTACCAGCAAGCATAGTGCTATGGATGAATAGGTGAATCCGCTAGTCGTTCGATCGTGTTGAAAACAAGGTTCTCGTGGAACATTTGTCCGATTTTTATTTCTTCTGACAAAGGGAACGAGATGAACAGTTAAGTTGCTCACATACTGCTGGAGCCATATTGGGCTCATCAACGCTGTCCATCGAAAATGCACCAGTCCCTCCAGTCGTAGCATTGCGTTACAAACCAACTGCCAGAGATAACTCCTAGTAAACAGAAAGGGCGACGAGATACGATGGCTGTGGCACTAGAATACAAGAGCAAAATTGAATCGGCATCAAACATTCCTCTCCTTGCGTCGATACCTATCCTTCAATGGAACGCCTTGGAAAACCAGAACTCCGTGATCATGCTCATATGTCGTTAGTGGGGTATCAGACTTTGGTCATCAACTTCGGACATATCCATGTTTCTGAGCCTGTTGTTCCATTCGTATCCGCTCCATGCGGATCTTAGCCGCCTCGGTGCCGTCGTCAGGTTGGGCCATCTCCTTCAGCCAAGGATGCTGCAAGGCTTGCTTTGCAGTAATACGATGGGCAGGGTCGTAGACGAATATTTTCTTTAGCAAATCGACAAAATTCTTCAGGAAAGTATTGTTTCCCGGAATAATTTGCTGTTATCTGTTAGCACGTGCAATGTCAAGCCATGCAAAGGAGTTCTTACATCGAGATGCTTCATCGCCTTCACAAAGCGACGGGAGCCGCGGGTTGTATCTGGCGTAGGATAATCAAGCTTGAGTCTCTTGAAATACCTGAAAAGTGTGAGCATGTAAATCAGGGAAGATTTCACAGGGAGACTGACTTCGAGGCGGCATTGCCACCACTTCTTGTAGACATCTTGTTGACAGCCTGGACAAGATGGCTATCGATTCTTGATCCGACGACAGCCTCCATCATGGCCAGGTGTTCCAAGTTATCATGAGTTTGGAAGAGAGCGTCACCCGTAAAGAACTCGACAAGGATACATCCTATGCTCCAAATATCACAAGGGAACGACCAACCAAGTCCAAGGATGATTTCTGGGGCACGGTAATGGCGTGTTGAAACCACGGAGGAGTGGTACTCGTCTTGGAATGTGGCAGAGCCAAAGTCGATGAGCCGGATCTCTGTATCCAGTAGAACACGCCTCTGCGTAGCTTGGCGGCTGATAGTTGAAGAGGAGGAAGGGATCTTGCGGTTATATGTAAAGGTCTGATATGCGTGGTTACAGAGCAAGATGTTCTCGGGCTTGAGGTCGGTATGGATCAAGTTGAGGTCATGCAGAACTAAGTCAAATTAATACACTGTCAAGTGAGGTTGTTCGTTAGCTTAACTTACAAGCAACGCTGGTGAACAGCTGTCGGGCAAAACTCTGAATCTGGCTGTTGGGAAAAGGAACGAATCCGTTGCCCTTGAGAAAATCGAAAACACTCTGGTCGAGCAAGTCCATGACGATACAAATGTGGCCGCGATAATCGAAACAGTCTCGTAGATGGATGCATCGGTTACGGTTCTCTGCATCATTTCGTTTGAGGGTTTCGAGAACGCGAAGTTCTATCCGTGAGGCATCTCTGTATTTCTGAACTGATCGAATGATCTTGACCGCCACGGCCTTGTTACGTTTTCGATCGTGGGCTTCAACCACCTTGCCGAAGGTTCCCTGGCCCAGTAGGCGGACAATCTGGTCTGTGGACTTTGTTAGATAAGTCTAAGAAAAGAATACGATAGATAGACCTACACTTTTCTGTGAGTTCAGCATCAGGAACGACAATATAATGACCATCGTCATCATCAACCTTGACGTTTTTGTTGTAATGTCGCTACCCATTTGTTAATAATTTCATCTCAATATGTTAAGTGATGTGGAGTCAAAACTCACGTCATGGATAACTTGCACGTTAACCTCAGACGCCTTCTTTGGGGGGAAAGGTGGAGGCTTGTAAGTGAAGAAGTCCCCGAGGCCATCTACATCGCGACGTTTGGCTTCGTTAGCCACCTGTTGACGGGTGCGTTTCCGCTTAAGGGGAGCCAGTCCCTCCTCATACTGGCCGTTGGACGAAAGTGATGTCGGGGCAGTGGTGTTAAGTGCCGAATTGGTGCGGTCACTACTAGAATTGGACGAGCCCGCTGGTGTTGACACCTGCAAAGGGGTGCTGTGTTGTGATTCGAGGTATTTGATATGATAACCCGAGGCCTGGACAGTGCCAGACTCGTCTTCTCGTCTCCTCTTCTTAGCCACCTGACTGCTCGTGTTATCGCTGGGCGCAGCAGCAGTGCCATTCGTAATTTTCCGGCTAGTGTTTGCTTCAGGCTCGGGTGTGTCGTCAATGACGATGATTTCCTTTGGCAGGCCATTCTTGTAGAAGGTGCCCCAGTCGGGCTCTCTGGAGCGTCTACGCTTTCTCGAGGGTTGCTCAGCGCGAGTGGCAGGGGCACGCTCTGTCATGCTTCCTGCAGAGTATGCCGCGTCGTGTCGCGGGCTGGGTTCCTGGGCGTGGTGTGCAGAGCGAGAATTTGAGTTGGTCAAACTTATTCCATTCGAACCCGATGAAGAGTATCCCAAAGGCGACAGCTGGTAGGGCGGCGGCAGAATGGCACTGTGGGAAGGCGACACAGCCGAAGAGACGGGAGGTGGTAGGATATTCTGATTCGATACAGTAGAACGAAAATTGGCGCTGGGGTTCGGCTGATACGTCTGATGATGCGTGTGCGAATGGGCATAGGATGGCTGGTAATGGTGAGGATTGTAGTGTGGAAGCGTAGCCGTCGCTGTAGTTGGTGTTGACATGATGGGGAAAGCCAAAGCCACCCAAGGGCTTTAGAGACGGCAGTAGTGATCACGAAAAACAAAAACGAGAGAGGTGCTGTTCCGCTGTATCGGACGGTACAGGCGACCGATCAAATCGTCGCGTCGATTCGTATGTGTAGGCCGTCTTGAGGTTCATGTATGTACGACGGAGGAATCGTGAGTGAAGAGGAGAAGGACACAACCGATGAGCGAAGAAAGGCGAGATGGAACGGGACTGGGGAAGGACCCGGGGGGCGCACCTCCTAGTTTGGTGAATGGTTTTGGTGGTGAGGGTGGTGGATTGGATAGGATAGGTAGGTAGGTGTGCCCAGACGGGATAGAGAGACCAAGGGCGAAGGAGGGAAAAAAGCGCTCGTCCAGCGAAGGCCAGTGACCTAGGTACAGTGGCCTCAGCGTGTGAGTTAGGGGGGTTAAGGTTACGAAGGGGCACTGTAGCAGGAGCCCAGTCCACTTAGGTTCAGCTTATCGCAGGTCACGTCTCGTTGGGTGAGAATATTCTTGCTTTTCTCTCAAGGACTGAGACTAATGTGTGGGGATGAATGGGCGAGGCGAGGCGAGGGTCATAGCCAAAAGGCAAGCAGGCAGTGGAGTGACTTGAAGAGTCCATCCAAGCCCGGTTGAAGGCGTCACGGGCATCCCATTTGTCTTGGAAAAAGCGTTGGCCAAAGTTACGGGTGGCCGGGGCAGATTTGAGGTATCCATTTTGGGTGACGTTGGTCAGATAGAGATTTGCTGGTGAGTACATTTCCTACAGGCGGTGACGTCTAGTGGTAGCATGTATTTTTGGCGTCATCCTCAACACCTGGGCTAGGCTCAGTCCCCATCAAGGAGTGGGTGGATTTGTCACTCATGGATGCTTGTGTTGTGCTCCGTCTCCTCTTCTCCTCTCGGGTTACGACTTTGGGGTCAAGAAGAAGAAGAAGAGGCGGAATTCCAGTGGAACTGGGCAGGAAATACAGAGGTACATACTTTTATCGTACTGTGGCGGCGTCGCGGTTCGGCTCTCCAGGCCCAAGGCACCTCAGTCGGAAAACCAGGGTCCATCACTTACAGGGCTTGAGTGGAAAGGGTTGTTTTGGGGAAGATGCCCGGCCAAGTGAGGCAAAGTGCTAAACGCTTAGTTGGGTTATGCCTGTCAATGAATGACAATAAAGCTTTAATTCATCACTTTGGCTCAAATTCTCGTAGTGGCTGACAGGCCACAAGTTAGGGTCTTGATGATAAGAGAAAAAAAGACTTAGGTAAAGTGTGAAAAACTTAGGATGATATTTCAATACTTTATTACAACGTCATTCTCTACCAAGGGCCGAGGCTTGCTTGCTCCCGAGTTTGGGGCTGCAGAATAATAACTTCAGCTGGAAGAATAACGAGTAATATCCAATCTTGACCTTGAAGGGGTATCCCGTCGTTGAAAAGAAAGACAAACACATAGTACTCTCTGTATCACCTGAGATGAGATTCGTTGCAATGTCGCTAGATTATCCTCGGCTGTCTTGCTTATTAGGCAATCTGGAATAAATCTTTCAAACATATGTGAGGAAGAGCAGGGACCATCGTGTGAACAGAAACATTGGATGCCACTAAAATCAGTCCAGATGACGATATGAGACGTTCAGATCTCGGTACTTTAATAAACATTACAAACAATTTAACAAGACTCATCGATCGCTTCGGTCTTTCAGGCAGATCCTCATCATTGCT